TTCATCACCGCCATCATCAGCACCAGCATCAACATCATTAGCATCGTCATCGCCCTCGTCATTAACATCGCCATCATGCCCATCATCGGCATGATTCGCAACAGAGGCAGCAGGAGCAGCAGCAGCAGGACTATCATCAGCTGCATCACCATCACAATCACGATTAGCATCATCATATCATCTTCATCATCACCATCATCACCATCATCATAATCAGCAGCATCATCATCATCGGCATCATCATCGGAATCATCGCCATCATCATCACCACCATCACTACCACCATCGACGACATCGTCGTCCCCGCTATCAGTATCATCACCATCGTCATCGTCACCGTGGTCAGTGTCGTTAGTGCCATGACCATCATCCCCATCACCGTGCATAGTCATGTTCACAGTCTGCACCAAGTCATGAATGTTGCTGCGAACGCAGTGCCTCGCGCCGAGGAGCAGACTGCTGGTTCCCCGAGCATGCGGCGCGTCGCCTGCTCGACCATGAAAGTGGAGGCGCTCCAGCCCCTGCCGATTCACGCCCTCAAGTCGCGCCTCCAGCTTCACTGGCCTGAGCAGCAGAATGACATCGATACCATCCATTATGACCGCCTCGTCACCTATCTGAAGAAGGCCCGCGTCCGTGTCGCGGGCACGGTCTCCAAGTTGTGGATTGGTGGTTGGACGACGAGCTATCCTACGCACGAGGCTACGAAGATGATGGGCTTATGTTACAGCGACGCGCTTGACGAGCGGATCCACTACGCGGGCTGCTTCACGCTCTGGCCCACGGCCTACAGCATCCTCAGCGCGCCCGCCAGCCAGCTGCTGTGAGATGCTCGGCCTCCACGCGAAGCACTCCTCCGACGCCATAGCCGCGTTCGTCGCGTCCGAGGTTCACCAGAAGCAGAAGCTGGGCCATGTCGATTCAACGAGCTGCACATGCTCATCCACGTGCGCTTGTCGACCGCCAAGCGCACCCCAAGAAGCCCCTCTTCATCTTCACCATCATTCCAAGCATGATCGTGATCACGAGGATGATGATGATCATCATCAGCAGCATCGTCGTCATCATCAGCATCATCATCACCACCATGATCAGCAATAACAGCATCATCGTCATCGTCACCATCATGGGCATCATCAGCGTCATCACCATCGTCAGCATCATCGTCATTGCCATCGTTGACTGCCATACGACGCAATCCACAACGCATGCAACACAGAACACATGACGCACACACAGCATGCATCTAGCCATATAGAGACGTGCACCACGCACAGACCATATACATGCCGTACATCTCCCCGCCCGTCCCCCCCAGAGCACATCCCGCACGCACACCGTACACAGCCGCGCACACGCACACAGCCGCACACACGGGCACACTCAGACACAAAGGCACACGCACACACGCACACACGCACGCACGTTCGCACGCACGCACGCACGCACGCACGCACGCACGCACGCACGCACACACACACACACACACACACACACACACACACACACACACACGCAGACACACACACACACACGTGCACAGGCCACGCGCAACCTGACCGAAGCAAGCGCAGGCAACCACTAAACATAAGCTACCAATGGCAACCATCTGGGCATGCAAGGGATCCCAGCGATTGCAAACTCCATGCGCGCGTGCGCACTCAAGCTCAGAGAAGCGGCACGTCCCGTTCTTGTCCGGAAAGGTTCCGTCGATGCCCGAATCCAGAGCGAAAGCCCATCCCATTGCGAGGGGTCGAGACCTATTGGAAAATCCGTCAACCGGAGGTATGCGGATATGGAAGCACGTGTGCTGAGCGACGTAAAAATTTGGGTCCGATTGTGCGAACACTCTCGGTGTGACCCGTTGGCAGCCCGCGTAGGCTATTTCGTGAGGTCTTCAGGCCCTCTCACGTGAGACCCGTTACCCTTTTCGATGGCACCCCGGTGGAACCCTTAAAGTTCAAGAAATGGGTGCAGTTCTACGCTACGCGGCTCTGTAGGAAGGCCAACAGCAAGAATGAGCAGAAGGAATGTTCAACAAGAACATCGAGCAGAGATGAGAGGAGAGGACGAGGATGAGATGGGAGGATAATCATATCTGCGCTGCTTTGTAGTGTGTTGTGCGGGCTCTCCCTTTGGCCTCTAGCCCCATTCCCTGGACTGGCTTCTCGTCCCACATATTTGTTCCCAACTATCCTGTGGTGGTGGGTCCTCGTTTTGAAGACGCAGCGCCCAGAGTGTTCTTCCTTCCCTCCTGCTGCCCCATTCCTCCCTCCTCCCATCCCTACCCCTGCCCTCCACATGTCCAGCATGTCGGCACACCCCTCCCACGCCTCGTGACCCCATAGGGAGCTCCACCGAAGGACCCCGAGGCGACATTCGCATGTGGATGCCACGTCCGTTGCGGCACACCCCATCATGCACTTCGTTGCCCCATAAGGAGCTCCACCGCAGGCCCCAGTGGCATGTGGGCGTCACGCCCGTTCCCGCACTCCCCTCACATGTTTCGTGACCCCATGGGGAGCTCCACCGAAGACCCTACTGGCGACGTTCGCATGTGGGCGTCACGCCCATGTCGGCACGTCCCTCACGCGCCTCGAGGCTCCATAGAGAGGTCCACCTAAGGCCCCAGTGGCGACGTCCGCATGTGGGCGCCACGCCCGCTCCGGCACACCCCTCACACGCGTCTTGGCCCCCTGGAGAGCTCCACCTGCGGCCCCTGTGGCGACGTTAACATGTGGGCGTGACGCCCGTTTCAGCAAGCCCCTCACGCGCTTCGCGGTCCCACAGGGAGCTCCACCGAAGTCCCCAGCTGCGGTGTCCGCATGCGGCCGCCCCACCCATTTCGGCACGCCTCGCACACGTTTCGCAACCAGAGATGGAGCTCCACCGCCCCCCTGTTCCAGCACACCCCTCGAACGTTTCGTGGCCCCAGATGGAACTCCGCCGAAGGCCCAAGCGGCGGTGTCAACAGGCGGCCGCGCCATCCACCTCGGCACGCGCCTCACACGCTCTGTGACACCACAGGGAGCTCCAGCGAAGGCCCCAGTGGTGATGTCGGCACGCGGCCGCCCCCACAGTGTCGGCACACCCCTCACGCGCTCCGTGGCCCCGTAGGGAGCTCCAGCGAAAGCCCAGTGGCGGTGACGACTTGCGGCCGCCCCACCCGCTTCGGCACGCAACTCACAATTCGTGGCCACATAAGAGGGTTCAATCCAAAGCCCCAGTGGTAGCGCCCGCATGGCCGCCCCGCCCACTTCGCCACGCCCATCACGCGCTTCATGGCCCCATAGGGGGCTCGATCTCAGGCCCCAGTGGCAGCGCCCGCATGGCCACCGCGCCCCATTTCGGCACACCCTTCGCACGCTCCGTGGTCCCAACAGGAGATCCACCGAAAGCGAATTCAGAACGACTGCATTCGCAACTGCATATGGTTGGGTCTCTCGCCCCGATACCTTTGTTCGACCCAGGGCCCGAGAACAGCTTTCTGGAGACCGAAACCATGAAACCAATTCCGTCTTTGTCTCAAGACGTTGGAGGTCTGACGAAGGACGCAGGGAGGAGGAGGGGCACGAGGGGGAGGGGGCAAAACAACAGTTTGCTCTACTCAGAATGCTAGGCCAAAGCTGAGGTGGGCCAGGAGCAGTCCAAACGTTGCTGGAACGGTAGGCGTCCTGGCGACGAAACTGCCTTCTCCTATTCCTCCTCCTCCTCCTCCTCCTCCTCCTCCTCCTCCTCCTCCTCCTCCTCCTCCTATTCCTCCTCCTCCTCCTCCTCCTCCTCCTCCTCCTCCTCCTCCTGTCTGGGGTGCCGCGGTCGGCCTCTTCGGGGGTGAGCGCGCCAAGTTTCCGCCGGTCCTGGGGCCCCAGGAGGGGCCCGAAATCTTCGCGGTTCCAACCTTCGCCCCTCTGGGCACCGCCGGCGTCGAGCATGGACCCCTGCGCGTGTGTGTATAGACATATATATATATATATATATATATATATATATATATGTGTGTGTGTATATTCGCCACGACGTGGACGAAGTGCTGGACGAGCTCGACGGATGTCTGGGACAGCCTGCGTCTTCTGGTGCCTCCTCGTCGACTGCTACCTCGGGCGGGCATCCTGGTGGCCCTAAACTACCAGATGGAACTTCTACGATAACCTATGAGCGGGCTGCCGCCCGCTCCCGATAAGTGAGACAGACTCTTCCGGGTACGAGTGATATATATATATATATATATATATGTGTATATATATATATATATGTGTGTGTGTGTGTCTGTTCAGGCTTGTGCTAACCCAGTGCCGCCGAGATGAATGGCACAGGGATAAGAAAGTTCGGGGTTGCGCGGGGGTTGTACACGTTGCCTACCGGAGGCCAGCATGTGGGAGGAGAAAGAGGTGATGTTAAGAGGACCGAAAGCCGAGGATCGAGAATCGAAGTCCGAGGATCGAGGATCGAGATCCCAGAAGTAGAGAAAGATAGACAGACAGAAGGAGAGAGGTGGAGGAGGAGGAGGAGGAGGAGAAACGCCACAGTTTCCAAACCTATTATAGTTAATGTGTAAACAAACAATGGAAATTAAGATTTCCATTTGCTCGTGTAGGGTAGCTCACGTGCCTCGGTTTTCGTGGATAATAAAACCACAGCGATAAAACAGGTAAGGGGGGCAGGGGGGGGGAGCGGAAAGAGAAAGAGAAGAGCAGACAGAAGAGAGAGAGAGAGAGATAAAGAGAACGCTGTTGGTTTCGCTTGAGACATCCTCGACAACGTCTTCGCTTCGTTTGATGTTGCTATCTCAACATGAGAAGGAAGTCGACCTCGATGGTGAACTTGTCACAGTGATCAAAAAAGCTCGGCCCCCGCGCCCCGCGCCCCTGACCAGACTCTTCTTGGCTGTGGATCATCAACTCTAGCGCGGAGGGGGGGGGTCCTTTTTTTTATCGGCGGCAGGCGGTTACCTCGCCTCATGCTCCTCGGAGCGCCGGGGCCGATAACCTGGGCCTCCGCAGGTCCGTTCGACTGCGAGGACGGGTGGGTCGGCTGGCGGTTGGCGTGGTCCGAGGAGAAGCAGGACGCGTTCGCATTGCGGCATCTTGCGGCATCCTCAGCTCTGGAAGTCGCAAAAACGTCAAACTGGCCGTTCTGCTCCAGGTCGGGCCCTGGGATCGTCACGGATGGACCCAGCTCGAGGAGGGCCTCAGAGAGATGGGGTCGAGAGTTCCAGCCGTGACGCCTCAAGACGCAGTTTTTTACTGCAAATGAAAATTCTGCCGAAGCCTGTCTTGAACGAGAGCACGACATGGTATAGGTGGTAGTCTTAAAAGACCGCGCCACATTGGGCCGAGACCCCCTTTCCACCCCCCCCGGCTCCTCCTCGACTACGCCCCCCTCGCCGTGTTCCACTTCCGTCTCGCTTATCGCCCTCCTCCTCCGCCTCCTCAACCTGCTTCCTCCGCTTCCTCGCCCTCACCTTCCTCTTTCACGACTTAGGATCTATGGGTGTGTCGAGTGGTGGAAGAGCAGCTGGTAGGGGGCAGGGGCTTGATGATGGGCTGCAGGGGCAGGGAGGCCGATGACCCCGAAAGCCCGAAGACCTCACTGGACGGTCTTCCGCCCGACGGTGCTGGGACCAGGGAGGCCTCCGGCTCGCGAGACATCCCCCGAGAGCAGTTCGTGTCCCAAAGCAGCCCGCTCACCCCCGATTCGTCTCAGGAGCCACGGGATTGTTGCGGCACCTCTCGCTCCTCCCATCCCCATCTACCCTGCTCTTTTGTCTCTCCTCTTTCTTGAGGGGGGAGGGGGGGGCAAGGGTGCCCTCCCTCTCCTCCAGGGAAGGGGTGGGGCGGCTCGCCGCGCCCCCTCGCCGGAGGAGTGGTGTTGCGCCCACCAGGGGCGCGGCTGCGGCGAGGGCGGGGGCTCCTCAGGCCCGGGGGGCGGGAACGACTCGAGCTCGCCAGCGCTCTTCAACTGCAGCGCGGGGCGCCAGGACTGGGAGGCCCCCCTGCCGCCGCGTCCTTCCGCTGCTGCACAAGGGCGTTTTCCTTCAAGGTCAGGCAAGTTCACTTGCATGGTGTTTTCCCCCCTCCGCCGCCTTTTCAAGCAGCGCTGGGCCGAAAAGGCGTGCAAGTGAGACCCGACTTGCGTGCACTCCAAAATTCCTTTCGGGCCTCGCCAGGCCGCACCCCCCCACCCCACCCCCGTCCATGCAATTGATCGTGCCAGAACATCTGGAGAAAAAAGCGGCTCCTGTGCGTCGGCACCCCTCATGTCTAGGACATGGCCAGGATGAGAAGTGACCATCATGAGACGTGACCAGATTGCGAAACGTACGTTCTGTAGGAAAAGCCACTTTCCACATTCACACAACAACTAAGCATACCCTCGCTGACTCAGAATATTGGGGCGCCAACGCCAAAGTATGAAACTACACCTTCCCAACTGACAGCATACATTTCCGTTAAAGACAGAGCGCATACAAACGCGCGTCCGAAACCAGGCGATTCATTGCCCAATGCCACGACGAAGTTAAATCCACAAGGGAAGTGGGGCTAAAGGATGCTCGCAACATGCGCATCCACTATGTTACACTAGATCACAATGTGTAATAGTGTGGGAAAGTGTAGACGAACACCTAGCATCGGTTAAGCGATGTTGGGATGCGGGTGTAGCGTAGCACCGTTTCAGTTAAACAAAGCGAAGTTCAATGTGTATGGCAACATTGTTTGCTTTAGTTACAGCTGTACTTCTTTAGCCTATCTACATATGCCAGACACCAACCAGCCCAACGAAGCTACGCTATGCCAAACCGCATACGCTGGCGAGCTAGGCGTGTTCAACACAAGAACGCATGGTGCTGCATAGATCTATACATGTTGTATAATCGTTTTACACGTGCTTTATCAAGCGCCTTAATCCTTAGACAACATATAGATAAGCGCAAGTAAGCAGACCTCCACGCGTCGTAGAACGAACCATTCCACGGAAGACTCTGGGCAGTGATCGGCCTCTGGCGGATTGGGCGGGCTGGCTGGGCCATGGGACCGTCAATCGGCGACTTGGGATGAACAAGCGGCCCCCGGGAAGGAGTCAAGCGTTCCAGAGACCACGAATTGAAATCACCCTGGCGACGGACCCAACCATATGCAGATGTGGGTGCCGTAGTTGTGAGCTTTGTCTTCAGTGGACTTCCCCTTGGGGCCACGCAGCGCGCCAGGGGCATGCCGAAACGGGGGGGGGGATGGAGGCCGCACGCGGTCCGCGCCACTGGGGCCATCGGCGGAGCTCCCTACGTGGGGCCGCGAAACGCGTGAGGGGCGAGCCGGGATGGGGGGGGCGCATGCGAGTTGTGCCACTGGGGGCTTCTCATGGGGCCACGAACGTGTGAGTGGTGTGCCGGAACGGGCGAGGCGTGACGCCCACATGCGAACGTCGTCATTGGGGCCTCAGGTGGAGCTCCCTATGGGGTCACGAAACGCGTGAGGGGTGTGCCGAAACAGGCGCAACGCCCACATGCGAACTTCGCCACTGGGGCCTCAGGCGTAGCTCACTATTGGGTCGCGAAACGTGTGAGAGTGTGCCGAAACCGGCGTGACGCCAATATGCGAACGTCTCCTCTTGGGCCTTGGGTGGAGACCCCTACGGGGTCACGAAACGTGTGAGGGTGTGCCGAAACGGGCGTGACGCCAACATGCGAACGTCGCCTCTTGGGCCTTGGGTGGAGCTCCCTACGGGGTCACGAAACGCGTGAGAGGTGTGCCGCAACGGGCGTGACGCCGTTATGCGGACGTCGCCTCTGGGGCCTCCCTACGGGATCACCAAACGCGGTGAGAGGTGTGCCGCAACGGGCGTGACGCCCACGTGCGGACGTCGCTTCTGGGCCTTGGGTGGAGCTCCGTACGGAGTCATCAAACGCGTGAGGGGTGTACTGAAACGGGCGTGACGCCCACATCCGAGCGTCTCCTTTGAGGCCCCAGGCGGAGCCCCCTATAGGGAACGAAACGTGTGAGGGGTGTGCGGGAAAGGTTGACACGCGGAGGGCAGAGGCAGGGATGGGAGGCGGAAGATCAGTAATTGGTCGATCTGTGTATTGGATTACGGTGTAAATAAGGTGAATGCACGTGTGGGCCATCCTTTATGGACGTATTCGTTGGCCGAGGGTCCATAATGGAGTCCTCGGCCCCCTCTGGTGGCAACTGACGCCGTAATGTAAAAGTGTAGCAAATGGGAGCGGCCCCTGCGACTGCGCCCTCCCCGCTAGGCCTCATGGTCGAACGGCAAGAAGAGCTGGTGTTGCGTCCACGAGCACATCGGGTGCCCCTGGCCGGGGCCTCGGCAGAAGCCCCGCGAGAGGATCGCACGCGGGCCACAAGGAAGCTCGCAGCGTATGTGTCGGGCGGGTCGGGCGGACGACGATGACGACGACGACGACGACGACGACGACGACGACGGACGACGACGACGACGACGACGGCAGCGTCGGCGGCGGCGACGGAGTCGACGACGACGACGACGACGGAGGAGGAGGAGGACGGCGATGACGACGACAGAGGAGGAGGACGACGGAGGACGACGACGGAGGGCGACGACGACGACGACGACGACGACGACGACGACGATGACGGGCCCTTCTCGCGGCGGATGCGCGTGTACTTCTGGACGGCGCCTTCCCTGGGGACACCCCATCGGACTGATTGGTTCACTCCTGGCGCATCTCGCAGCTCTCGGCACCCGAGGGTTCGTTTTCGGCTCCCTGGGCCGCCGAAAAACAAAACGGACGCCGGGGGCGATCGGCCGCCCGCGGGGGCGGGGCCGAGGCGTCTGGGGCCGTGGAGCCAGAGATCACACCGCGTCACCACGTCCTCTCCCGCTCCTGCGGACCGCCTCCCCGCTCTGCTTCCCCCCTTTTCTGCACGGGGCCTGGTTCGCGTGAGCGTGCTCCGCTGTCGCCCGACCTCGCCGGACTGTGTCCATCGCCGCTCCATCGCCGCTGGCCGAAAGATCTCGGGCCTCTCCCTCGGCCGTTGCACGTGGGGTTCTGGGTGGTTGAGGAGGCCGTGCGCATCTGAGGTAAGCCTTGCCGTGTGCGCGTCCGCGGTCCGGTCTTTGCTGCTCATGCACCATGGCACTCCCTGCTGAGACATCTCGGACCTGCCGCCCTCTTCCCCTGAGACTGTGCGCCCTTGCAGCATGCAGGGAGCCGTGGGCCCTTCCGCGGTCCGCTCTTTTCCGCGTGCGCGCCATAGAGTTCGCCCTGCAGGGGCACGACCCTGCCGCTCTCCTGCCCCCTATCTCGCTCCCTCTCGCCCCTTCCGCCGCCGCCCCCCCCCCCCTCCTCTTTTTGGTCCCCCCTTGCCGCGATCGGCGTCTGCCCGTGAGCCTCGCCCGCGGCCGCGCCCCTCCCCAGACCTCCGACGCCCCGAGTTGTCCAGGCACTGCGTCCTTGGACCTTTTCGGCCCCCCTCCCAGGAGCCACCGCTCTTTCGTTCCGGGCAGTTGCCTGAGGCGGCCCCCGGGCCCGGGAAACGGCCCCAGCAGGCCGAGTGCGCCAAGGACGTCGGAGGTTTGGGCCGCCAGGTCCGAGACCTCGACCACGAGCACCAAAGACGCCGCGCCCGGTGCCGACGCAGCTCTCGGCGCAGCGGACGGGTCCAAGGCTACGGCCACCATCACCAAGACCACCACCACTAGCGCTGGCGACGGTGCAGAAGGTGCCATCGCCAACGGCGAGGAGGCCGCCGAGGCGGGGTGGAGGGTGGACAAAGCGCGCCTCCTCACCTCCTCCTTCGCCTCCCTCCTCCCTCCCCCCCCGTTTCTCTTCTGGCAAGCTTAGAGCTCCATCAGAATCGCAATCCAACAAATCCCCCCGTTTCTTCCTTCCGCGCGCGGTCCCGCGCGCGCAGAGGCGCGCCTGGGAGCCTGGGAGGTGGAGAAGGAGGAGGAGGAGGAGGAGGAGGAGGAGACATGGACGACCAGGGACACCAAGCTCTGACGTGCGAGGTCGGCGGCGGAGTTGTCCAGAGGCACGGCAGTATACGCGATGGGTTGGCGGCCTGGATTGCCGCCGTCACGGGCGCCCTAGTGCTCACCGAACATCGAACAGTTCGTTCCGAACTGCAGCTGAGTGGTGGAGATTTGGACGGGGATCAGCAAACTGAGCGCATTTGGACGTTGTTTTTTCCCAACCATCCTGTGGTGTTGGGTCCTCGTTTTGAAGAGACGGTGGCCCGCGTCTCCTCTCCTCCTCTTCTCCTCTCATCTTCTCCTCTCCTCCTCCTCCTCTCCTCCTCCTCCTCCTCCTCCTCCTCCTCATCCTCCTCCTCATCCTCCTCCTCCTCCTCCTCCTCCTCCTCCCACCATCACCATCGTCATCACCCGTTTCGGCACACCCCTCACACGTTTCGTGGCCCCATAGGGAGCTCCACCGAAGGTCCCAGTGGGTGTGCCCGCATGCGTCCCGCACACCCATTTCGGCACACCCCTCACACGTTTCGTGGCCCCATGGGGGGCTCCACCGAAGGTCCCAGTGGGTGTGCCCGCATGCGTCCCGCACACACATTTCGGCACACCCCTCACACGTTTCGTGGCCCCATAGGGAGCTCCACCGAAGGTCCCAGTGCCCGCATGCGTCCCGCACACCCATTTCGGCACACCTTTCACACGCTTCGTGGCCCCATAGGGAGCTCCACCGAAGGTCCCAGTGGGTGTGCCCGCATGCGTCCCGCACACCCATTTCGGCACACCCCTCACACGTTTCGTGGCCCCATAGGGAGCTCCACCGAAGGTCTCAGTGGGTGTGCCCGCATGCGTCCCGCACACCCATTTCGGCACACCCCCACACGTTTCGTGGCCCCATAGGGAGCTCCACCGAAGGTCCCAGTGGGTGTGCCCGCATGCGTCCCGCACACCCATTTCGGCACACCCCTCACACGTTTCGTGGCCCTATAGGGAGCTCCACCGAAGGTCCCAGTGGGTGTGCCCGCATGCGTCCCGCACACCCATTTCGGCACACCCCTCACACGCTTCGTGGCCCCATAGGGGCTCCACCGAAGGTCCCAGTGGGTGTGCCCGCATGCGTCCCGCACACCCATTTCGGCACACCCCTCACACGTTTCGTGGCCCCATAGGGAGCTCCACCGAAGGTCCCAGTGGGTGTGCCCGCATGCGTCCCGCACACCCATTTCGGCACACCCTTCACACGTTCGTGGCCCCATAGGGAGCTCCACCGAAGGTCCCAGTGGGTGTGCCCGCATGCGTCCCGCACACCCATTTCGGCACACCCCTCACACGTTCGTGGCCCCATAGGGAGCTCCACCGAAGGTCCCAGTGGGTGTGCCCGCATGCGTCCCGCACACCCATGTCGGTACACCCTTCACACGCTTCGTGGCCCCATAGGGAGCTCCACCGAAGGTCCCAGTGGGTGTGCCCGCATGCGTCCCGCACACCCATTTCGGCACACCCCTCACACGCTTCGTGGCCCCATAGGGAGCTCCACCGAAGGTCCCAGTGGGTGTGCCCGCATTCGTCCCGCACACCCATTTCGGCACACCCCTCACACGTTTCCTGGCCCCATAGGGAGCCACCGAAGGTCCCCGTGGCGCAGTCCGCACGCGTCTCCACCACCCAGTACACCTTCGTCGGAGGCCGTCGGGGTTCCGCGCCTCCCTCGCCCGTCGTCGCTCTGCCCAGCGGCAAGAGCCTTGCCCGCTATCAGCCAGCCAGCTAGCTCTCTTTGCTGCGCGCAGCGGACGACCCGCGCGCGTCGTTGGGACCCCTCCGGGGCGACCTGCGCGCGTCGCTGGGACTCCGCGCTGCGCTGCGCCCGCAGCTTTGGACTTTGAGTGCGCGGGCAAAGAGGGAGTAAAGGAAGGGGAGGAAGCGGGCGCGATCCTCGCGGTGGCGTCGCGGCGCGCGGGCGATGCCGTCGGGGAGTCCCGGGGAAGCTCCTTGCGGCGGCCACGCCCAGCGTCACGAGTACTCAGAGGCAGTCATTCACAAACTATGAACATTCATATACACTTGCACCATGCACTGGCATACTCGCATTCATGCACGTAGACTCGCTCGCACGCAGATTCATTCACAGTCAGACGCACTCGCGCTCATATTCGCCCGCGCTCAGTCTCCCTACGTACGTTTTCGTTCGCGTTGTGTACCACGCCATTCATTTTGGCACACCACTAGCACGGTTCGTTGCCCCATAGGGATCACCACCGAAAAAAGGAATCGCAATTGCGGTACTCACACCTGCATATGGCTGGGTCCTTCGTACGGCTAATTAACAACCAAAGCGCTCAGCGTGCATACGTTGACGTCTGCGTCCCGCTGCTTTTTCCAGTTGCCCCGAATTGCTCCAAGTGCGAGCAGCGCGGGATGGTGCGGCGGCCGCGCGGGCCGAGGATGGCAAGCGCTTCCGGTACCCAGGGCGAGACCTTGTGCACTTCGCCATAGAAGCACTGGGCCGCCCCAGTGACGACGCTATTGCCCTCGTCCGCGCGCGCGCGCCAGAGGACCCCGCCGAACGGTCTCGGGTCTCAGGTTCCGCCTGACAGTCGCTTTCTGCATTGCTGCAGACGCGCAGCGCAGAGCTTTTGATGTTCGCAGAGTCGCCTTGATGCACCGCCGCTTGAGGCTCAAGTTGTCCTCCGCACATCCCTCGCTCTGTCTTCCTCCTCCTGCTCCTCATTCTCCTGGTCTTCCTCCCACTCGAACGATCGTTTAGTACCCCTTGCCGGGATCGGGGGCAGGTTGGGGATCCAATACGGCCCATCACCAGTTTGCCCCCCCTTGCTCCGCTTCACTGCAATGCCTCATTTGTTCTCCTCATCTTCCTCCTCCTCTTCCTCTCCCTCCTCCTCCTCCTCCTCCTCCTCCTCCTCCTCCTCCTCGTCCTCCTCCTCCTCCTCCTCCTCCTCCTCCTCCTCCTCCTCCTCCTCCTCCCCCTCTTCCTACTCCTCTTTTCCTTGCCGCCCCTTGCCTCCGACATGCGCGCGAGCGCCTAACGGGGGGTTTACGTGGCTCAGACTCCCCAGCCGCGCGCTTGCCGCCTCCGCCTTCCGGTTCCGGTTCCCTTTTCTTCTCTCCGATTAGCGGAGGTGCGCCCCGTCGCCGGCATCCAGGTAGGACGCCCCCCACCTGGGTGCCAGGAGAAATCCCCTGGATGGGCACACCCCCAATAGAGGGGGCGGGACTGCTGGCCGATACGCCTGTCCCAGGTGGGCACTGGTCCTAGCGGGGGGCCGGTGCCTGGGTTGCGGATTCACCAGGAGGAAGAGGAGCAGGAGGAGGAGGAGAAAGAGGAGGAGAAGGAGGCAGAGGGACAGGAAGGAAGGACGGACCGTGCGGGAGCGGGGGAGAGGAGGCGGAGGAGGAGAAGGAGAAGGGAGGGGGAGAAGGGGGGGAGGGGATAATAGGGGGGAGGGGATGATAAGAAGGAGGATTGTAGTGTATTGCGGATGCACGCGAAGGTTGGCATAATTCTAATGTGTCAGGTAGGGCGCAAGCGCCTTCCCATCCCTGGAGGCAATGCTCGTGAAGGTAGCGAGAGCAAACCATCAGGTCCCGAAGCCTGTTGAACAAACCGTTGTTGGCACCCAGTGTTGGTGAATGGTTTGTGCATTCCGCATACTTTGTGGCAGCCACTTTTGTTCGAAGCAATTACGCAAGACCACTTGCATTGCCGATTGGCTGTGACCAAAAGGTCAGTGCCTCAGCGGGCGGGGACACAGGACCGTCAGCATTGCCGCCGGGCTGTGTCGGAGCACGAGAGGGCAAAAGCCTCTGCACGAGGGGTCAACGCGGATGGGGCCCAGTGTGAGGGTCGACACATGAGGGGCCCCCAAGGCCTTGCATGAGGGGTCATCGAAGAGGAGGCCTTAAGCATAACACAGGCATGATGGGGTCAGTGCGTGTCGGGCCACAGCCCCAGCATGAGGGCCTGACTGGTGAGGGGGCGAAGCCCCAGCATGAGGGTCGACGCACGAGGGGCCCAAGCCCCAGCATGAGGGGTCAACGCATGAGAAGTCTAAGCCCGTAGCGGGACAGCACATGAGGGGCCAATGCCCCAGCATGGGGGGCCAAAGGAAGGGTCAACGCTTGACGGGCTAAAGCCCCAGCTTGGGAGATCAACCCATGAGGGGATCCATGTACGAGGGGTCGCAGCCCAAGCATGAGGGTTCAACGCCTGAGGGGACACAGGCGCCGCAGCATGAGGGGCGAACGCATTGGGAGCCACAGCCCCAGCATGAGAGACAAGGGCCCTAGCATGAGGAGTCGACGCGTGAGGGGCCATAGCTCCAGCATGAGGGTCAACGCCTTGACGGGCCGAATCCTCAGCAGGAGAGGACAAGGTATGGGGCCACTGCCCCAGCATGAGGGGTCAACGCGTGGGGGGGAGGCCAAAGCCACAGCATGAGGGGTCGACGCATGAGGGGCCAGAGCCACAGCATGACGGGTAAGCGCATAAAGAGCCCAGGCCCTAGCATGAGAGGACAACGCATTAGATATGAGGGGGAATTGCGAGCATGAGGGGTCCACGTATGAGGGGCCAAAGCACCAGCATGAGCGGTCGAAGCATGCAAGGGCCGAGCCCCATTGTGAAGGTGACGGGAGAGAATGGGTCAAAGCCCCAATTTGAGAGGTCGACGCATGAGATACCACAGTTCCAGCGAGGCGCCGATGCCCTAGCATGAGGGTCAATTCAGCGGGGTTAGGCCCTGCAAGAGGAGTCAGCGCATGATGGGTCCAAGCAATACGAGGGGCCAGAGCCCCCCCCCCGCATAAATGGCAAAACCATGCGGAGTCGCAGCCCCAGCATGAGGGGTCATCGCACGGGGGAACAACGCCCCAGCACGAGGGGTCGACGCATGGGGGTCGAAGATCCGTAGCGTGAGGGATAGTGAAATGGGGTCGTAGTTCCAGGTGTGCGGGGCCAAAGCCCCAGCATGAGGGATCAGAGCATGTTGGGGCCACAGCCCAACTCCTCGTCTATCCTCCATCATTCTCCTCCTCCTCCTCCTCATCCTCTTCCTCCTCCTCCTCTTCCTCCTCCTCCTCCTCCTCCTCCTCCTCCTCCTCCTCCTCCTCCTCCTCCTCCTCCTCCTCCTCCCTCTCCTCCTCTACCTACCCACCCACCCACCGAATTACCTACCTACCTGAGGGGTCGACGCGTGAGGGGCCAGCGCCTGGGCATTAGCGGTCAAATCATGAAGGAGCCGCAGCCCCGGCAGGAGGGGTCAGCGCATGAGCGTTGAGCGCCCCACAACGAGGCGTCAGCTCATTGGGGGCCACAGCCACAGCAGGAGGGGTCGACGCACGAGGGGCCAACGCTCCAGCATCAGGGGTCAACGCCTGACGGGCACAACAGCACGCGGAGTCGAAGCCATAGCATGAGGGGCCAAAGCATGAGAAGTCAGAGTCCCAGTATGAGGGGTCAACCTGTGAGGAGTTCAAGCCTCCGCACTAGGGGTACACCCTGTGAGAGGTCATTGAATGAAGGGCCGACCAGAGCATGAGGGGTTCACCTATGAGGGGCCAAAGCCCCAGCATAGTTAAGGGGTCAACGTATGTTGCCGCCAGTTGTTCGACGACCTCAGATTCCCAGAGGTGCACACGTCGAGTGAACACCACACGAACCCTCGCCAAACGACAGCACGACTGTCGTGAAACCGATCCTTTCAGCACGACCGGATTCAGCAGTTCGACGCTGGACAGCACGCCTGTGATGAGCATCATTGCTCCTGCATCCGTGTCTGCGCAGCACGGCGGACAACAGCAGCATGACAACGAGCAGCATGACGGGACCCCTCAGTTCGACGATGAGCAGCACGACGGCGCGCAGCATGATAATTCCTACATCTACGTATACATGACGGATCATACAGCGATCGGCGGGATGACAAGGCGCTGCACGACGGGATACAGCAGCCCAGCATTGAACACCACGCTTGGGCTCAACAGCAGGACTCCTACATCAACGTCTGCGCAGCGCGACGGCCACCAGCAGCATGATTCTGAGAAGCACAGCAGGAGGCACAGCAGCACGACGATGTGCACCGTGACAGGACTCAGCGGAGTCAACAGTCGGGTGAAGAACATTTCCGTTGTGCGTGTTTTGTTTGATAAGTGGCCGCTTGGATTCAGGAGATCGTCGCGCAGCGTCCTTGCCTTTTTTCCTCCTCCTCCTCCTCCTCCATCCTGCTTCCTCTTTTCCTCCCTCCTCCTCTTCCATGTCCTTTTCATGTTGTGCTGAACATATAGAGAATATCACGCAACGTCGTGGATCTCACTCCTGGGACACGGATTCGTGTTGAGGCTCGACCACGGTAATTTGCCCATGGCAGCTTGGCACGTCTTCATCCCTGCTCCTCCTCTTCATTATATTTCTTTCTTGATGCTTCGCATGACGCATCGACCCTCCAAATGCCCAATGATCGCCGATAAGGCCCCCACAGACCTCCAACCCAGGAACGTGCGGATTCGCCATCGGGCGCCCATGGCCGAATCCATCGGCGATGCATCGCCGATTCCAGGTCGATGGTGCCCCCTCTGAGCCAATCCCCCTTCCCCCCTGTACGGTAGGTTCATGCTGCGTTCGCGCGCCAGCGACGCCGGCGACGGCGTTCAAGGTTGCAGCCTGCGACGCGGCAGCACCGACGGACACGCTAGCGCCCCCGGACCCGACGGAATCCCACCTCGAACGATTGGGGCCGCGATCGATTCCAGGTTGAACGATCGACGCGGTGCCACAAATTTCTGCGCGCGCCGACGCCGCGCGACCTTGCCGTGCAGAGGAAGTTCCCCTCAGAGCCCCTCGGGCAGCGGCGGCGGCCTCGGCGGCGGCGCACCGGGGCGGCCGGGCCCGCTGCCGCCGACCCCGCCCGCCCGAGGCGGAGAGCCCCGGCGGCGCGGGCGGCGGCGCGGGGCCGCCGGCGGAGGCCAGGGGCAACGATCAGGGGGAGGGACTAGCATAGTCCCTCCTCCTCCTCCTCCTCCTCCTCCTCCTCCTCCTCCTCCTCCTCCTCCTCCTCCTCCTCCTCCTCCTCCTCCTCCTCCTCCTCCTCCTCCTCCTCCTCCTCCTCCTCCTCCTCCTCCTCCTCCCCCTCCTCCTCCTCCTCCTCCTCCTCCTCCTCCTCCCCCTCCTCCTCCTCCTCCTCCTCCTCCTCCTCCTCTCCTCCTCCTCCTCCTCCTCCTCCTCCTCCTCCTCCTCCTCCTCCTCCTCCCTCCCCATCCTCCTCCCCTTCTCCTCCCCGTCCTCCTCCCCCTCCTCCTCCCCCTCCTCCTCCTCCTCCTCCTCCTCCTCCTCCTCCTCCTCCTCCTCCTCCCCCTCCTCCTCCCCCTCCTCCTCCACCTCCTCCTCCTCCTCCTCCTGCTTCTCCTCCTCTTCTCCTCCTCCTCCTCTCCTCCTCCTCCTCCTCCTCCTCCCCGTCCTCCTCCTCCTCCTCCTCCTCCTCTCCTCCTCCCTCCTCCTCCTCCTCCTCCTCCTCCTCCTCTCCCCCTCCTCCTCCTCCTCCTCCTCCTCCTCCTCCTCCTACCCCTCCTCCTCCTCCTCCTCCTCCTCCTCCTCCTCCTCCTCCTCCTCCTCCTCCTCTCCTCCTCCTCCCCTCCTCCTCCTCCTCCTCCTCCTCCTCCTCCTCCTCCTCCTCCTCCTCTCCTCTCCTCCTCCTCCTCCTCCTCATCCTCCCCCTCCTCCTCCTCCTCCTCCTCCTCCTCCTCCTCCTCCTCCTCCTCCTCCTCTCCACTGGGGGGGATAGGCATAGAAGGGGGGGACGCATCGACCCCGAGAAGCACCCGTGCATCGCCGGCAGGGGCCCTACAGCGATGCCTCGCCGAGTCCAGGGCGATGCTATCCCCCACTTCCTCTGCCAGTCCCCCCCCCGATCGCTGCCCCTCAGGGGGGCGGCGGGGCGCAGGCGCCGCCGGACCTGCTGGCCGACCCGCTGGCCTACCTCTGCAGCTCGCGGCCCGCGTGCTCGCACCTGGACGGCGCGTGCTGCCCGGGCGTGGGCGGCGTCGACCTGCCGCGCCGCGGCTCAGTCGGCTCGGTCGCCGCCGATCGTCGCCCGTCGCCCGTCGTCCGTCGTCCATCGCCCGTCGTCGTGGTCGTCGGCCCCAAACATCCGAAGGATAGTTTTTTTGACAATCCGGGCGGTGCTCCTTCAGTTCGGCCCATTGGTCCTGTTTTCGAGCCCTGGGCCATGAAGGGAGTGGATCCGAGGCGAAAAACTACTCATGAGGAGATGGTCGAGATCGCGGGCGCCACGGATTTAGATACACATCGTCGGATGTTTGGGGTCGTCGTCGTCGTAAGTGTTCTGCCGGTCGTCGTCGGCGGCGGCACCAGCACCCTCGCTCCTCCTCGTGATCGTCCTCCTCCTCCTCCTCCTCCTTCTCCTCTTTCTTATCCTCCTCCTTCTCCTCTTCCTCCCCGAAAATCGTGTCTTCACGTGAGGGCTCTCACTTTCGCGCCTTCCTCTCCCCGTCTTCCTCCGCACCCTAGCTCACCCCCTTTAGGTGACCTTGCCCTGGTTCTCGATCAGACATCTCCGTACCAAATTTCCCTATTTACGACCTCTTTCCACCCAATCCTCTTCGCACCGTAGAAGGATGTTCAACGGTGCCGGCGCCAGCAGCAAGATACCGCCATGGGTTGCGAAGCTGCAGACAATCATCAACACCTACACCGGTTATCGAATCCTCTGAGATGTTCGTTGTGCACAATTGTCCAGCCGAACCGCACCTGCATATCCTCAAGTCTCGTCCCACCCCTGCGTTCTTCCCCGCCCCACATCATAAGATCTCCAGTTGTTCACATACAGCAACGTTGAAGGAGGCAGGTGAGGGAGGAGCAATGATTATAGAGAGAGAGAGAGAGAGACAGGTGGGCACCCGATCTGCGACGGGCTGTGATAACAAGCATGGTGCCCATGAGTTCACCCAGCCTTGGAAGGTGCCAATACGCACTTCCACGCTGGAGCCACAGTGCCTGGACCACGGTGCCCAGGCTCCCTGGATTCGTTGGCCCGGCCCGTGCGGTCCAGACCCAGGTGGCCCAAGGTCGTATGCCACATCGGGCGACCGTGCCCTCCGGGGTGGTGGCTCCAGGACACGGGGCCCACCAACGGGGTTAAGGCGCTCAAAAGGCATAGTGCCGCAAGTCCTCCTCGTCCTCCGCCTAGCCCCTTTCGGAGCTTCCCTCTTGGGGGGCAGCTCATTCTAGATCCGCCTCGTCGTCGGCGTCGTCGTCCTCCTCCTGTTTGATCATCTCTTTCAGGTTTCGTCTCCACCACCTCTTTGTCCCAGCTATCCTTGTCCTCCTCCAGTTTGCCCATCTCTTGCTCCTCTCATGTTTCCTCGTCGATTCCCTCTTTCCGTTATTCCCAACGCTTCTTTGCTTCGCTGCGCCGCCCGACTACTTCCTCCTTCCCTTTCCTCCTGCCCCCTCTGTAAGAACGGTTTTTTGAAGGCAGATCTGCCTTCAAAAAACCGTTCTTACAGGATTGAAGGCAGATCTGCCTTCAAAAAACCGTTCTTACAGAGTAGACCATTTTTTGAAGGCAGATCTGCCTTCAAAAAACCGTTCTTACAGAGTAGACCGCCCCTTCCCGCCGCTGCCGCTGCGCTGCCTGCTGCATGCTGCATGCTGCCGCTGCCTGCTGCATGCGGCTGCCATTGCCGCTCCGGCTGCAGTCCTCTGCCGCTGGTGCCGATTTCCGTGACCATTGCTGCCGGTGTTGTTCCCCGTGCTGTTCGCGAGACCGTTTCGGCACACCCCTCATCGGGCGAAGAGAACTATGCACATGCACTGATCCTGGCAAGGCCCATCCTTGACCCAGGATCGGTGCATATGCCCTCCTGGCCAAGGCAGGAGGGCGTATGCACCGATCATGGGCTCAGGATGGGTCTGGCCAGAGTCGGTGCATGTGCATAGTTCTCTTTCCTCTACCTCACCCGCTTCGTGCCCCTTGGGAAGGTCCAAGTCAGGGATGCGAGCGCGGCGTCACCGCGTTCACTTCCGCATGCCCCTCGCACGTATCGCGCCTCGTGCGGGGGTACATTTGCGACGCGAGTGGGGGTGCGAGCATGACGCCGCAGCGTTCAGACACACGCACACACACGCACACGCACACACACAGCTGAATCTAAACCAATGAACAATGCATCGGTTTGTGCTTGCTTCGGATTGGCATCCTGAGTACGACATGCAGCAGTCAAGACACGAAACGCACGTAGGTGGATCGGCTCAGCTTGGGTGCAGGGTGTTGATGGGTGGTGGTGGTCAACTGTTGCATAAGGGAAACAAGTCCCGAGCAGAGCAACACGCACCACGACCACGACGGAGACGAGGCGCGCAAACGATCCCTCATGCCTTGCCGAGCCCGGATGCGCGTTTCAGCACCCTCTCCCCAAACCTCGTCGGGTCCCCTGACAAGGGAGAGGGCGGCGGCGACCGATACATCCCAGAGGCAAGACGCTCTAGGCGCTGCGGCTCAGAGAGCCGGGAAGACAGGCACACGGACGGAGGACGCACGGACAGGCAGGCGGCGCGTGCAATGCCTTGCACGATCAGCACTCAGTGGATCAACGAGCAGAGCGCCTTTTGCAGGAGGAGGGAGGCGGAGGAGGAGGAGGAGCGGGAGGGGCACCGCGAAGACGGCGCCAGGCGGCCGTGCAGCGCGCGCGTGCGAGACTGTGCCAATGGCGGGTCGAACCGAAGGCGGGTGAGCCGGCAACACAACAGACAATGGGGCAGGCAGAAAGAAAAGGCGCGCGCGGCGGGCCAAGGCTGGGGGAGCGGCGGCCGGGGAGCCTGTCGACACCAGCCGCGCCCAAGGTTGCCCAGCAGGTCCACCGACGAGCCATGCCAGGTGCGCGGGTAGCGCAGAGGCGCCCGACGAGGCGGCACGGCAGAGACAGGCAGCAGGAAAGAACGCAGACAGTGGAGAAGACGGACAGGTGGCCCGAAAGACCAGCGACGCCAGCCATTGTGGACAGCAGGGTCACCCGCAGGGGTGCTAGGACGGCAGCGCTTCGCGCATCGCGGCCCGGGTCGGACCGCTGGCCTTCTCCAGAGGGCGGCGCGAGCCTGCGAAGAGCTGGCTGCGCATCGCGCATCGCGGGGCGCGGCGCCGCGCGAAGCGAGGCGACCTCAAACGGGTCGCCTCCACGACCTCCGCTGCACTGCCCGTCGCAAAAGCCTCGCCGCACTGCCCCCGGGCAGGGGGACATGGGCCGAAGCGGCCGAGCGTCCGGCCGCCGCGCCGCCGCGGCAGGTGGCGGGGGGCGAGGCCGCCCGAGGTGGCGCAGCGGCGGGCCGAGGGGCGGCGGGAGCCTGCCGAGTGGGCCGACCCGGCAGGGGCGCCAGCCCGACGGGGCACGTGCGGAGGGGGGCACCGCAAACCGATTCGGCAGCCGAGCGGGCCGGCCAAAGGCTCAAAAGGCGGGGGCCGAACATCCGCGGGCGGCTCGTGTGCACCGTGCCGCGTTGGCGAATCCTGAGGCGTCGTCGGTGCCCGACCCAGGAGGGGTGCGGAGCACAGTGTTCCGGCCCCTCCCAGCCGACAGGCTGTGCACGAGACCGCGTTGGAGAAGGGCCTGAAGGGGGTCCAAACCTTGCACGGTGCACGGGCAGCGTTCTCGCGAGCGAGAGGGGTAAAGCAGGAAAGGAGGCGGAGGGAAGAGCGGCAAGGGGTCGCGCGAGCCTCCGCAGCATAGAGCCGCGCGGCCTCGCCCGGGCACAGGCCGATGCCGAGAGGGCCCCCCCCCCTGGGCGCGGACACCAGGTGTGAGGGGCGGCCCGTCCAGAGTCGGAGCGGTGCGGGAGGGCCCCACCGACGCCAGACCGTTTTCGGCGTCGCGGCCGCGCGCGCAGCGTCGCGGCGTAGACAGGCCCAGAGAGGAGCACGCGCAGGCCCAGCTCACGCCGCGGGGAGACGCTGGAGACAGCCGTCACACTCTGTGAGTCCGCGGGCGCCATGTGGTCAAAGACAACTAGATGCCGGTCAGCAAGCGGTGGGGTGCACTGGGAGCGAATTGAGGCACGAAGGCGAAAGGAACAGAGCGCGAGGGCGGAAGAGGGGAAACCCGCTCAGATCGTGAAAGCCAGCGCAGGGGATGCCTAAATCTTGCATACAAGCTGCATGCGAGCAATGGAAGCCGAGGCCAGCTTGAAGTAGAAGGCCTGTGTATAAGATTAGGTATTTCTCGAAGTCCTCGGGTAAAAACCAAAGTTGTCCAGGAACCCAAGCCACCCACGGACCAGAGCCGAAGCCAAGGCCGTACACAGCTCGGGCCCCCAATACATAAATGAGGAACTTCGTGACATCTTAAAGGTCGGCAGAACTGTTGCCGTACTCGATCGGCAGGGTGGGAAGTTCACCGAGGTGGAAGTTACCACAGCACCAAAACTCATATCCGATACAAAATACTCCCAGCCATAGCCAAGAGATACAGACATGTCCGTGCAGCACCTCTCAGGGGCGGTAGGCCCCTCTCCTCGGGGCTGCCGTCGTTCTGGCCCCAGAGCTGGCGAAACCCGCCTCCGTCCTGGGGCCAGGCACCGACGGCAACACTTCAGCGTACCCCCACAACGATTGCTCGTCCTCGGTCTGGAAACTCCTCGCCAACTCTATCACAACTGACTTTGACGGGTCCGTCCAAAACAACAACGTGGCAACCGCTTGGATAAAACCTGACGGTGCCAGGTCGGTAAACGATAGCACATACTTCCAAGTTCTGTCCCCCTTCGGTTTGTTGTATCTCGATGCGAATTGTCCCATCCAAATTTTCAACATAGCAATCCCGGCTTTCCTCGAACCCTGTACAGCAACATATGCGTTCTGTAATTTCGTGTCGTCTGATTGCTTCTTCACCTGATCTTCCAAAATCGGCTCCAAAAACGCCAGACAGGAGATCAAAGCCCAAGTATCCTTTGTCATATCCAGCGGGTGCTTTGGGAACGTGCGATATTTCTTCATCTGCTCCGTAACCTCTGGTTTCTGCTCGTTCCACTCGTCCACCATC